TGTACATGGTTTGAGATCCTCCGTGCCAATATGTCCTGGAACAACAAACTATGAATCTTTGCTAGAACCCTTCAGGCAAACACAGGTTCCAAGGATAGATCTACTCATGTACCAGTGAATAACGTTAGAGACTCCATGGAGACCTTCTACAGCAAATTATGGGAAGCAGGGAGGCAGAGTGCACACTTTGAATCTATAGAGTATGACAAGTCCCCAGACTCGTTTAAATATTGCACTTTGGTTATGCAAATGACTATTGCCTGATTCCCTTCCATCCCCTGCAGACAATTTCTCTTTCTCCTCCAAAATTGCTCCAGAGATCTCCAAACTCTCCAGAACATTATCAGGCTTGAAACTGGGAAAATGACATTAATTAAGCAGAATCAAACAGAAAACAATACCCTAATCAAAGAACTACCAAGGAGAAAACCACACCCCCACTAACACTGGCTGGGCAAGCTACTGTATATAAACAGGGAGCAAACCCCACACACTCACTAGCACTGATGATATTACCTAGTCGGGTAATGAAACATCTGCAAGGAAACAACCAAGCTCAACAACCAAGGACTCCACTGAAATGATTACTATCCATTCTTGTGTCAGAAGGACATTGCTAGAGTCAACCCGATATGTAAATATTAGAGCTGCTCATTTCCCCAGACCACCTTCTCAGTTTCTCCATAGCCTAGATGTTCTTTAATCCAGCCTCTCCTATAAACTAGTGACTTTCAGAAGCTCTATTACAGTATTTCCAGAATGGGAAGGCATTTTTGTCACTGATAGTCCAACCTGAATTTGCTGATTGTCTGGTATTTTATTTCCCTCCCTCCCTTAATCACTGCCTTGCATCTGTATTGACCTATTTCACCAAACTGAGGAAGGTTCACTGCTGTTTGTTCATTTATTCATTCTTTATTTTAATTTATATTAGAGAGTTGCATTCAGCAAAAGCCCTTGTTAGAGGATTTGTGCTCCTGAGCATATGCAGCATTCTAAAAGAATACCAAGTAATTGAGCAGTAACTGAACAGCAGTAGCAGGCCCCATCTGAAAAGAATAAAATGCTCATAATATAATTGTTTTGGAGGCAGAGTGTAGACGTAGCCCAGCTAGGAATAAATGTTAACAGAGATGCATTACATGTGAAGCAAACGTATACGCAGGACAGGTTTTCTATCTAACCTAAAGGAAGCAGGAGAGAGAGGAAGTTCTCTTTATCTCTGAGCCACAGAAACTCCTTTAACTGACATCGGGCCAGGGGGAACCAGCCCCAGCAGCAATATGTAAAGGCCCATCTATCACTCAACGTCTGCCCCCCAATGGACAAAACTGCTTACAGGGGCAAAGAGATTATTATTATTATTATTATTATTATTATTATTATTATTATTATTTATTTGACTTGTCCCC